GTTTGGATACAAGCGTCTGCCAAATAAATAAACATAAACATAAACAATGGGTTTCCATAGGCTCCAATAACACATTTTTGAAGAGAAATGGGAGGTGGCCACCACCGTGTCACAGGTTCCGTCAAGCCCAGACAATTCCACAAAAGGGAAGAGAGGAGGAGCTGAGGGTGGGGCTGTAAGGCTGGGATCAACTGACGACACCCGGTCGAACTAGCTGCAAGCTAACCTGAAGCTAACCCAAAGCTAACGCGGAGGTGGGAGCTAAGCTAATGGAGGTAGCAACCTAGCTACAACCGGAGTTAACTGTGCACAACACCAGAGCTTCTGAGTCAGAGATACGCCGGGCTGACCGCTGGGTAGAACCGGGTGGAACACAGAGGACTCCGAGAGCTCCACAAGCCGGCAGCCGCACAGCAGACAAGCGCCGCTGCAATCTGAGATGCGCAGATCTGCCGCTGGGGAGAACCGGGTGGAAAGGTTTCCATCTCAGAGCTCCACGGAGCTAGCTCTGTGGTCATGTGGGTCTGATGCTCATTAATTATACAGAATTTTAGGCTTTTAATACACTTAAACAGAAGAGTGAGAAAAAATTCACCCCCCTCAGAGTTGTCATGAGTGTAAACTAGATCATTTAAACCAAAAACATGTTCTGGTACCAGGCTGTAAACATGTTTATTTCTGCTGTGAAATTGGTATTTTTAACATGGGAGTCAATGAGGATTTGCTCGCTTCTGACACCAGCCCCTAGTGGATGAGGGTGGAACTGCAATTTATTTCACTTCCACGTTGGCCTCAATTTTTCACCCGCATTGTGGGGGCTTGGATAATCTTCTGCCACGTGTCAACCATCCGTGGGCAGGACAACGATCCCCCCGTTGGAAAAGTCAAACTAAATTCTAGATTTACCCGGATGGTTTGCAGCTCAGGTGAAGTTTTGTGGAAGAACAAAATATAAAATCATGTCAAAACACGTTTTAACCAAAAGGAAGCGTGTAAATGATAACTGAAGTGTCCGATTACATTACCGTGGGGTACTCCTTTATCTAGGAGGGTTGTATGAAAACAAAAGTGAACAAGAGTGAGTGAAACCAGCTAGAGCTGTGCAGAACCACGTTGAAGTAGAACCGCTTTGAGTTTAGGAGTCGGTCAGAGGTAAGGAGCTGGAAGGAGGATTAAAGATGGAATGAGCCGATGATAAGTAGTGGTGAGGAAAAATGGCAGATGTTGCTGTAAAACGGGGGGGTTGTTGTGGGGAAGTGTCACTCTGATTTACTCTGATTGAGGAGAATAACAGAAAATGACGAGGAGGCCGAGTGAGAGTGATGAAAAGACCAGATTTGGTCACATATGGCCTTGGACTGGGTCGATCCGGATCCACGTTGTGTACGGATAAAAGTTCCACAAACGGTCAGCTTTTCAGTTTCCATCTGCATCGAGCTGTATATGTCTGCATGGTGTAATGCACGCTGGTTTGAAGTGGTTGGCCGGTTCTGCTGCCTGGGCACGGACTGCAAGCACGCCAGCAGGACTTGTGTTGAGTGAGGACTGCTTACATGTGGACCTCAGTGGGAGAGTGAAGAAAGAAACGGACGTGGGACAGGAGTCTCAGGTCGAGCGTTACACTGAAAGGCTTTTAAAACCCGCCTCTTTCCGTCGAGCTCAACCGGCTGTCCACATCGCTATACAGGTCAGGCACGCAGGAAAGTCGGCAGTGAAGGTCCAGAAACTCCATGATTGCTGTTCTGCTTTGACCCTGTGTTATGAATTTTATGTTTTAAAGCTGTCGAACACTGAAAAACTATTTTTTAGCGATTATTTCTGATAATAACGGGTCACTCTGAGTGTTTCATTCAGGCTGAACATGAAAATAGTCTCCTACAGCTATCTCCTGCAGTGGCTTCTGATAGAAAACAGACGGTGAAATTCTAGGATTAGAAAATCCTGACCCATCTGGACTCACGATAGGGAAGGCTGTTGTTGGTTTAGCGTCCAGGAAACGGCAGGGAACGTCTCGGATAGCAGAAGCTAACTGTTAGCATTAGCAATGCCACCACACAGCAGAACTCCTCCAGGCTTGAGTTATTTGTGGAGATAAACTATCAACGTTTCAGAGCAAACAGTCAGTGGTAGAGTCGTGTTGCTGTTAGCCAATCAGAGGAGAGATGTCTAAATATCAGGAAGTAAGTCTCCAGATCCTGTCGTCTGAACGGGCAATCTGCATGTTCCTGAAACTGGTGCACCGGGGCTTTTTTCCCCAGAGTTTGACTTATAAGGCATTCCTACTAGAGACCACAGCAGATATTTACCTTTAATACGCTCTCCACTTTTATGCAACGTTCTTGGTTATCTCTGGTACTGTTCTGTCTTTGCAGCTTGGCCCGAATAAGACATCTCTTAAATTGCATCTTTTGGAGTCTGTCAGAAGGAAATTGGAAGTGAATATGTATCCTGCGGTGTCCAAATTTCAGAGAAACCGGCACAAGAGACGTGATTAGATGTTTGCATCATGGACGTTTGGATTCATAGTTAGTTCTAGGCTTCTGTTCCTGCAGCAGCACTTAAGGAATCACATTTGTGAGCTCACTCAGCTGATGAACTAGCCATTGGAAGCTGTTACTGATTCTTTTGAACCTTTTAGTGTCAGCTGTTCAGAGAAGCTCACTGCTGTCGGCATGTTTGCTTGTGTGTTGACTTTGGTGTGTGTTCGAAATGAACGACCGCCCTTCTGACCCTCATTCTCGGAGCCCTGTGAAAACTGGCAACAAGGTAAACTTTAGATGCAATGAGGTGCACTGATTTATTTCAGGGGAGGGTCCTCTGAGCTTTGAGTTCGAGCATGAATGAAGGGTCATGCAGCAAACACTGCAGAAAACCTACTTTTTGATTTTTTGGGGGGGCTTAATGACGAGTTCCAGCTTCACTGGAGTGACCTGGCAGATCAGTCCAGCTCTGGTGGAGGAAATGAACGGATTGTCACCTCGGCTATCAGAATTCATGTGGGCGTAGTGTCAAACGTACCATGCACATGCACAAAATACCATGCACGGCTTAGCTGACCCCTAACCTGCTGATGCAATAACTATGAAATAGTCTCCACGTTAAAGGATTTTATAAAATACATTTCTGATGATGCGAAGCTCCAGAAGAAGTCGTCTTATTCTGAAAATGCCTCCGATCCTTTTTCCTGTAGCTCCTAAGTGGCCAGCTGAAAGGGGTCAGAAAAACGAGGCGGAATGGGAATGTGATGTCTTCCCTGTTGAGGGCCCAGTGCGTTCATGAAGAATTTACCATGCTGCTAATTTTAGATGGCGCAGTGCGAACTCCTACATGGAGCAAAAAAAGGGAGGAGAGGCGTGCTCAGGCGAGATGTGGTTGATTCTGGTTTCTGGTGGAAACTGGAGCTATAAAATAAAACTGCTACATCAAACAGATGTGTGCAGGGCTGCAGCTCCTTCTAGGTTGTACAACGCTGGTGTAAAATTTATGGACATTTGCTGTTTTCATGTCTCGTCTTTTCACTCGGTGTTTTGAAAGGGCAGGGAGACTTTGCAAAAACCTGCTTCCAGTTGATTTCTTGGTCAAACGGCTCTGCTGGTCTTGTCTTAAGGTATTTGCATAACAGGTGTGAGGTCCATTCATTCACAAATGTGATAAACTGTAGCATAAAGAAGAGCCGTAGCAGCTGGGAGAGCCGCCGCGTCCACACTGTTTACAAAATATTCTTCAGCGAGGGCCACCCATGCTCTTTTGGACGCATCGGGGACATCCTGAGGGACTCCATTCAGGTTTCTACTGATCTGGGTTGTCCAGCCTCGGTCTGAGGCGTGCCATCCTGCATCTTCTGGATGCTGCTGCACATCTGAATGCATGGGTCATTTAATGGCTGCTGAAGAACTGGAGGACATTCCAGAGTCCATTTAACCATTGAACCAGTTGTGTTTGGGCAGAGAAACCTCTAAAACATGCAGGATGGTGCATCGGTCCTCCGGGAACGACACTGCGCTCCACTTGTAGAGTCATTCACAAACCTGCAGGTGCACCCATGCATAAAAACAATACTTCAACCTCTTAACTCGCCCTCTACTGACCCTTTATTGTTTACATGTTGTTGAAATCGGCTGCAGGTTGTCCAGAACGCTGCTGCCAGGTTCTTGGCGGGTACACACAGACGTAGCCGCATTACCCCTGTCCTGGAACATCTTCACTGGCTCCCTGTCATTTTCAGAGTGTAGTTTAAGTTACTGACTTTTGTTTTTAAAGCACTCAATGACCTGGCACCTCCCTACCTCTCTGCCCTCCTCACTCCATATGTGCCCACGCGCACGTTGAGGTCGGCTGACCTTTTGCTGCTGCACACGCCGCGGATGAGACTCAAATCGCGGGGGGATCGAGCATTTGTGCATGCTGCCCCAAAGCTATGGAACTCATTGCCCATTGGAGTTCGGCAGGCTCCGTCTCTGGCGGTTTTTAAAACTCGTTTAAAGACCCACTTTTACACTTTAGCTTTTAGACAGTGACTCGTTTTAGTGTTTTATTGTGTCATTGTTTTAATGTGTTCTTAGTATTCATCATGGTTTATCTGCCTTTGATTGAGATTTTTATCCTTTGTTTTCGCTCCTTGTAATGGTTGTGTTTTGTTTCAGCCTGTGCAGCACTTTGGGCAGCTCCCATGCTGCATTTTAAACGTGCTCTATAAATAAACTATGCTATGCTATGTGGCTGCAGTTTGCTTTTATTGTGCACATATCAGGCTGCAGAAACCATCGTTTGCTTCACTTCCTCTAAAAACTTACTTTTCTGAGGATTTAATGTCTAGACAGAAGAGCACGAATCACCATAAACTCTTTTGGTACTTGTTTGATTTATTCTAGAATGAATTATTCAGTGCAGCATCCTGGTCTAAATGCATGCAACATAAGAGCTATTCTTAGGTGAGCCCTGTGGGACATCTGGGACGGTCAGCATGTCTAATCCTCTTTTTTTGTTTGTTTCCTCTCCAGATCATGCCCCCTAAATAGCAGCCTCGGGCTCCTCTCCACTCCCCCTCCCTTGCCCCTCAGCCCCTTCCTCTACCTTCCTGGTCCAGCTCCATCACTGCCACCTTCGCCTCTTCAGCCGCCATGCCACCCAGGAAGAGGACGAGGCAGGGTCTGGGCTTCCTGTGCTGCTTCGGCAGCAGCGAGCCCCTGGAGATCAACCTGAAAGACACGGTGCCGCTGCAGCTGCTGGAGTTCAGCTCCCCAATGCCTCCCGTGGAGGAGCTGCACGCTCGATTCTCTGAACTTGTGGTGAGTGGACTGATATTTATGCATAATTCAGTAGAGTTTTGATTTCCGGCACGTTGTCAGCTCATTTACTAAGACTGAGTGGCCATTTAGGGGGTTTATTTACTAATTGCTGCCTCAGTAAAAGCCTTTTTGTGGTAAATAATGCATGACTCACACTTATGGTATTTTTCCCACGTAGGAGAATTCCCTGTTGGTTTATGAAGGGGTTATGACCTCAGGAAAATTTGCTGAATGCATTCTTTCTGCAAGACTGAAATGCTGATTTGCAGAATTTAAAATAAAAACATTTATGCATTTAACTGCCTTTGTTTGATGCATGCAGGAGCAATTGTGTAAAAGACGAGTGAAACGTCTGAAGTTGGTTATTGGCCTCGCTACAACAGAAATCCTGGATCTTTGTCTTCTCCTAATTTCTGTGCAGCCCAGTTTCCTCCGTTGCGTGTTGCTCATTATCCTTAACAAATAGGATTACAGACACGAATTAGTGTGGCTGGGTCTTGCGGAAGGCGTCTTGATGGTTGGCTGCGGCCATGCCCCAACCCCCATCATCAGCCTCCTCATCCACACACACACACACACACACACACAGTTCACATCCCGTGCACAGATCACACTTGTTGGCAGAAGCTCTGGGTCTGTACCGATGCCAGATTGGAGATGGCTGTGCTGACATGTGCCCGTGTTGTGGCGTGAGATCAGGGCACAGCTGTCAGAATGGAGAGGTCTGGAGTGGCTTACAGCTGCTTTGCAAGCTGGCCCAGAATTTTCTGTTCGTGTCCCAGAGCCGGTGTCCGTCTCATCCGTCTCCATCTCAGTGCCCGTGTGGCTTCCTTCAGGCCTCACGTTTCCTGCTGCATTCAAACTGTCCACATTCTGTTAGGTGGGATGGCCCATTCTCGGACGTTCACGTCTTCAGGAATGATGAACGTCTCTATCTGCAGGATATTTCACTCCTACACTCGAAATGAAGCTGAATTTGAGTTATGTTGGAGAATTTTCCCACAGCTTGTCCTGCTGCCTCACAGAGCTGACCCTTTCATTTGCTTTCTGGTAAAAACTAGAAATTACTTAGTAGCTGCAGGATATTTGTTGTCTTGATTGAGGGAAATTTAACAGCAAGATTGCAGCAATCAAGTCATTGATTGCCTCAACCGGTGTCCTTACGTGAAAAGGCCCAGAGGCTTAACAGCTGCTGAGCCAAACTGCTGCTAGCTGGAAAACGTTTTGCATGAAATGGTGTTACTGACAGAAAACATGCTTAAAATATTAACTGTTTTAAATTTAGCCCATCCTTTGGGATAAAATGGACACATTCGTCATGTGGGAACATTTATCCAAATTACTGCAATCCCACAAGACAAAACTGAGACAGATGCGTGAGTCAAGAGGAAGAGAGCACGTTTTTGCTCTTGATTTCAAAACCTCTTGACATTTAAGCCAAGAAGAGAAAGAAATTAGAAGTTTAGTTATTGCATCTGGACTTATCCACTCGTTTTATTAAGATGATTGTTTTTTCCCGACGGGAAATCTGCTTGTTGGGGTTTAAGTGGGACTTTCTACCAAACTGACGATGAGTTTTCGACACCTTTTCAAGCCAGGGAGACGATTATTGGCACAATGAGACCTTTAGGACGCAGTCAGGCAGGGACTTCTCCTGCAAAGAGCGGATTTAAAAAGAGAGGATGTGTGCTATGGGGCAGGGGATAGCATAACAGTGTGTTTCTGGGGTAACGGGAGACACGGATTATTGTTTTAAAACGCTTTCCTGACGAGGTGAATGGGGCTCTGTGGAGTCTCTGGAGTGGGAGCGACAGATCCGGGCCGAACGGAGGAGCAAACCACCTTCGTGTGTCCTCGTGTGCACAACGGGGTCTTCTCTCAGCGTGTCATGAGACCGTAGACGGCATAGTCGGCCCACGTGAATGAAAAAGACAAATCAGCAGTTTTTTCCTGGTAGAATAATCGGTTCCTTTAACGGTAAAGTCTAATTGATTTCACAAAACGATGTTTCCTGTTTCCTTTGGGATTGCAAAACCTAAATGTTCTTGCACAGAGGCCTGATCACATGTACAGAAATCTGGCTCACGGCCCATGAAAGAGAGACTTTCTGTCTATAGTGACTCTTGTTTGTTTTGCCTGTTGTGGCATGTTACTTCATCGGTCTAATCCCAAAACACGACGGCACAAATGAGTGATTATGTAAGCAAAACCAGCCGTGGAGATGAGAGGATGTCTGACTGAACCCGATTACGTTCGAGAAACAGAACCACCTCTGCAAGACTCGGCCGGTTATCCGCAGGATGCTTTCAGCGGCCGTGATGCGTGCAGCTTGGTTCAGGAAGATGGCGACAAACATCTGCCAAATAGAGATAAAGTCTTTTAATGATAAGATAAGAACAACTTTATTTATCCCGAGGGAAACTGTTGTGTCGTGTACGTGCTCAAAGCAGTAGGAGAGACAAAGGAAAAGGTGAAACAGATATAAGATATACGATATATACAGTAAATAGTGTACAGTAGTATACAATAGGATAGTGCAAGAGAAATACTCTGATAACTCAACAAGTAAAATACATGACTGTATCCTGGTGAATAAGTAATTAAGCTATCAGTGCAGGCGATTTTCGACAATGATCAGAGTATTGTGCAGTAGAATTAAGGGTAGTAGCAGCATATGATATGATGGAGGGATGCAAACATGTTTCCAATAAGAACTCTTGGGTAATACTGCACGGTCTGGGAGGGAACAGAGTAACCTAGGTAACAGGATTAGGAGAATCACCTGCAGGGTGAGGAAGAGTTAAACAATCCTATTGCCACCGGTACGAAGGACTTCCTGTGGTGGTCAGTTCTGCATTTCGGGGCAATGAGTCTTTTGCTGCTTGTGCTTCGATGGTCCATCATGTGGGCGTGCCTGGGGTGGGAGGGGTTGTCCATGACAGAGAGAAGCTTTTTTGGCATTCTCCTCTCAGACACCTCCTCCAGGTTCTCCAGTCTGACACCCAGGACAGACCCAGCCTTCCTAATCAGCTTGTTCAGCCGGTTGGCATCAGCTGTCTTCACCCCACTGCCCCAGCACACAGCTGCAAAGAACACGACGCTCTCCAACACCGAGTGGTAGAACATGGTCAGCATTTTCCTCCCAACGTTGAAGGACCCGAGCCGCCTCAGTAGGAAAAGCCGCCGCTGCCCGTTTTTGAAGATAGCATTGGTGTTCTTGGTCCGGCCCAGTTTACAGTCCAAGTGTACACCCAGGTACCGGTAGTCCTCAACGATCTCAACGTCAGCCCCTCTGATGGTGACAGGAGTAGGAGGTGGGGCCTGCTTCCTAAGGTCCATAATCAGTTCCTTAGTCTTTGTGATGTTAAGTTGTAGGTGGTTTCGCTCACACCACTCCACAAAGCTGTCCACCACACTCCTGTCCTCCACCTCCTGACCATCCCTGATGCAGCCCACGATGGCAGAGTCATCAGAGGATTTCTGCAGATGGCGAGACTGAGACTTGACCTGAAGTCAGATGTGTAAAGGGTGAAGAGGAAGGGTGATAGGACTGTCCCCTGCGGCACCCCCGTGCTGCTCAGGATGTTATCCACCTGCATTTCCGTGATCTTGTTCCCCAGCAGCGATGGTCTGATCGTGTTGAAGGCACTAGAGAAGTCGAAGAACATGACCCTCCCAGTGCTCCCAGCAATGTCCAGGTGAGAGTATGCCCGGTCCAGCAGGTAGTTGAGGGCATCCTCCACACCGATACGAGGTTGATAAGCAACCTGCAGGGGATCCAACCAAGGCTCCACCAGCAGCCGCAGATGTTTTAGGACGAGTCTCTCCAGCGTCTTCATGACATGTGAGGTCAGAGCCACTGGCCTGTAGTCACTGGGGGTCGACGGGTTGATCTTTTTAGGGACAGGAACCAGGCAGGATGTCTTCCAGAGTGATGGAACGCTCTGCATCTCCAGGCTCATGTTGAAGATCCGTTGTAAAACTCCAGACAGCTGGGAAGCACAGCACCTAAGGGCCCTGGGACTGACACCATCAGGACCAGCAGCTTTGCCGGAGTGGAGTCTGCCCAATTCTTTTTTGATGTCATCTGCTGAGAGGGACAGGGGGAGACAGAGGGGGCAGGAGAGGGGGGGGTGGGGGGGTGGAAGGAGAAGATGGGAAGAGCTGGCTGTGGAGACAGGAGACGCTGGGCAGTTTAACACTTTCGACATCCCATCCATCCCAACACCTCTCTTGTCTCGGGCCGGTGATAGCCCGCATTCCATTCCACGCCTCCCTGCATAATGAGCCCCTCATCCAAGCTTTTTCAATCACTTTGGAGTTTGAGTCGTTGCAAATACACCTTGCTTAAAGAAAGAGGCATGTGTTGGTAAGAATCTGATGCAGCAGATGACATTTGCATGTTGGCAGAGTTTTAGTGGGAAGCTTTTGCCAGACACACCTCCAGTGTTGTCGCCAGAACTCGTCCCATCAGAATGAAGCCGGTAAAAGCTGCAGCCACCTAGCAGACAAAGTTTGTGCCACACAATATTTACAGTATGTTGGCATGAAAGTTCACACATTAGTCTCGCATCGTACACATGTGGTGATATTTCAGCTCATCAGTGCATCCGAGCGTTCCTGCCTGGGTCCCGACTGCCATCCACATCTGAGACCAACATTCAAAAGGCTTATTTTGACTAATGTTTAGGGCGTGTGCAAAGAAGGAACTGCAATGGAGGAGTTGCACCTGGAGGATGCTTCGGTACCATTTTTAATTCATGGCTGCATTCTGAAGATCAACGGTGCCCACTCCCTTGGCTAAGAAGCAAGATGCGTTTCTGCTGGTGTGAAGCAGAACTGCTGCGGCGCTCACCTTTCCTTTCTCCACACACGGACGTTTGGAAAGTTTGTTGAATAGAAGAGAAGCAGTTTCGTTACTGAAACTCTTAAACAGGTGGTCGTCCAAACCTCTTCCCTGCACCGTGCAAGCAGATGCGCTCACACCTGCTTGCTGCCAT